CCTGGTCTTTAAATTGCTACTATCCATTTTTTTTGGAATGTGCTGCAGACATCAACTTCAGAATGAGGAATTATTGTAAAAGATAAGATAAAGCATTAAATATCTTGTCTGTACTGTTTTGTACTGCTTTCTTTTAAATACAGAACAGAGTGAATTTACGAATCACTGCTTTCTGTTGGGACATGCTGTCCCAGCTTTTTTTGTATTTGGGTTTGTAGTTCAGACATAAGACAAAGTCATTTGTCTTGATTGATTGGAGTGGTTTGGTGTGAAATGCTCAGTTCTAGAGAAACTTAAAGAGTCAGAATTGTTTCACAGTGGTGGTGATAGGAACCAGACGTCCACCTACAAAAGCTCCTTCACAGAAAGCTTTTACATGACATAGTTGAGAATATACAATGTGATGTCTGAGACATTGTTTTACAATAATTTTGTCCTAAAAAGTATTTTTTTCAAATCCATTCATGTAGGAGGGGTACATGCAGGATGTTGTGAAACAAAATACCCCCCTCCTCCGAAAGAAAACTGAATTTTTCCGATTTTCCACTATTTTACCATCGTTAACATTACATATAAAACCGCAGAAGGTGTAGAGTCATTGGTTGTTTGGATAGTAAATGGCTATATTTGTGTTGTAGACATGGTGACCCCACGTTCCTATCATCACCACTGTAAAGAAATCTGAGTCACTACAATGAACCATTTCACACCAAACCACTCTGAGTGACTGTTTACATCTCAACCACTGAATAAGGCAGACAGTTTCAAAAATTCTGTGAAATTTCATTTTAATATTTCTGTAGTTTCTCATAGACAACTGAGATCAATTTGGAAAGGTAAAGAAGATTTTGACTAAAGTCTCACTGCTGCTCAGTTATTTCACCTGAATATGGAGCCCAGTAATCTCACGGATGATAATAAAGTTACACACTCTGCTCGGGTTTGAAGATAGAAATGCTCTTTTTTTTACCTTACTGAACTCTTATTTGTCTCATATCTAATGCTAAGGGATTTTAGGAGAATCACCATTAAGTCTTTTGACCCATCAAAGAGCAACATTTGAGCAATAAAATCGTCTTCAGGGGTGATTGCACTGCTGCAGATGTAAGAACAATAGGATTTGGGAATGTGATGTTATGGTGCAGTGTCTTATGGGGCAATACACCATTGTGGCAGAGTTAGTGTAGGCTGATTCAGAATAGCTGAATGAATCTTCCTTTCCTACCTGCTTGTCTGATCTGAAGCTCATGGACTCAGCGTGCTGATCTACATGATTACAAAATCAAAGATCAGAGCAAAATCAAGGAAAGCATAGAAAAGGGAGCTTCCTTTAACTGTTTGGACGTAGCTCTATTCAAATAGCTCCTAAGACGCACAGCACTGCCAATAAACCTACAATCATTATACACAGCTACTCTTGTAGATTTAATGGAATAAAACTTTCAACATCATTTAGTGGATTTATCACATTTGGTATCAGCTAGCTAGCTCTTCACAAACTTGCTGTTTTCTAGCTAAAAGGTATAAGCAGAGGTGAAGTAGGCTGTGAATAGGCTAGTAAGATTAGCTGAGGTAACAGGTGATTAGCATTTGTTTGTTTGTCTTAAAGATTTTAGATTTTTAGGTTGACTGCCACTTCAGTGTAAACATATAGATTTTTGTGGTGTCTAATACAGTACATTGCAGTATCAGTGTCATTCGCTAACTTGCTAGGCTAGCAGTGTTGGCTAAAAAGCTACTTGCAGTGGAATAAGCCTCAGGCTGAGTAAAAATGCTAAAAAAACAAGTGAAATCTGCCAGTAGCTGAGTGAAATATGACAGTAACGGAGTTAAATATGCCAGTAATTCAGTGAAATATGCCAGTGGTAAGTGAAATCTGTCAGTTAAATAAGTCAAATCTGCCAGTGGCTGAGTGGAATATGCATTTATACACTGCATGTGGACCTTGAATGACTTGCAAATTCTAATTTACAAAAAAAGGCACTTACAGTGAATTCCAGTTAGGAAAAAGTCCATGAATGAAAGAGGTGGTAACAATAACGTATTCAGATCCTTGCTATTATTTTTACTCACTTACGATATGCGGGCCAGATCTGGGTCACATCCATTAGCTAGGTCTTCTCATTTCACACTACATGGTTCTTCTTGTTTTACAGTATATGGGTGTGGGTTGAGGACCCAGCCAGAACTGGGCCAGAACAAAACCAAGGATGTTTACCATGTGGCCAAATAAATTTTGCTAACTGGGCACTCTGTTTAGGAATTGTTATGGATCCATACCAAAGTAAGGCTAGATTAAGTCACACCACTGCAATAATGCTAATTTCCATTAGCGCCATAGTGGGATTCACAGTATTCTGCTAGCGCCATGCTAACAGTGGAAACATCTTACATGTAGAAACATCCATGTTCAATGGGTAAAAAATTGTTGCACGTTACTATAGATTTGTCTTAGCTTTTAGACTAGCATGCTATCATTTAAGTCAGTTATTAACAGGTACCAGGGTAGGGTAGATAAAAGGTGATATACTAGTCAGCATAGTGTCTTACCACTCTCATTTTATTTTGCTACTACAGGGCATGACAGACATGAACAGTGTGCCTAGCCTAACCAAGATAGCTAATGTTAAAAGAGATATTTCTCTCTTCTCATTGTTACTTCAACAAACCAACGTTGAGTAAATGTTTCAACTTAGCTTGCAGCAATCTGCTGCACTGTAAACTTAAATAAGTTGACTTTACTTTAAAAGAAATCATGCATAGGTGAAGTTACTTAACAGGTTCGAGCTTAAATAACTTTATATTTTCAGTGATCCACGCTTCTGTAGCAAGTAAGGTTTACTCACGCAGCCCGGTCTTTATAAATGGTTTCCACAATACTCTACTTCTACAAGTTCTGCTTGCTCTTTATATAGTTAGGTTAACTTGAATCCAGTATTTTTTTCTTGTGTAATGAATTGGCATCAGTTATGAAAACTCATATATAAATAATATTAAATGGACCATTCATGCAATAATGAATATATAGCTTAGACGAGACTGGAAGCCCCCTATTTCTGAGGACTAATAGCTTAATGCATATTTGCCATTCAGAGCTCATGGTGAAAGGCTGAATAAACCTGAACACGAAACATCATCATGGTGAAAATAACAAAAACATGTCAAATATATCCAAACTAAACATATAGCATAAAAGTATGCTATGAGACAAAAACATTCAACGAGAGTTATATTTATATATATATATATATATAAAATAAGAGTTTTTTGAGAAGCTTTTTGGACACATGACGCTTCGGTCTGTACACTGTTAGAAATAAAGGTTCTGTGCAGGTACATTATTTGTTCATTAAGGTACAAACAACATAAATGTACCCTCAAAGGTACAACAGTAGTTTTAAGGTCCAATTGTGTAGCTTAAATAAGTTTGAAAAGGTGAAAAGTATGTATTTTGTATGTATCAGGTGAAAAGTATGTATTTGTACCTTATCATAAACTAATATTTTAAAACAGAATAATAAAATAAAAAGCCTGGAGACGAGATGGGATCTGTGGAATCAGTACAACTTAGAAAATATCATTTTAATGGATTATGGTACAGTCATGTTCCCTGCCTAAAGGTACTGAGATGTACCCTTGAGGGTACCACCCCAGTGACAGTTTCATACCTTTATTTCTAAGAGTGTATGGCTTATCCAAATGTACTGAACTTAACTATGTTTAGTCTAGAAACTAAGGATTATCAAAGATAATAATGTAATATAATAACTGTTACTAAATTTGTATTAGTAATTTCAACAAATAAGTATAAAGTAAACCAAAAAACATTGAGTTCAATGATTATGTTGGACAGTGTGTGGTGGACAGCTTCTCTATGAGTCTTTCTTTTTTCTTTCATTGCCATAATTAAATACAAACTACTGCCACCTCCTGCAAAGGAGATTATTACTCTTTCATGCATGCGCATTCAGTATGGCCTTTGGTCATCAGCTGTAGATTTTGTGGTGAGTTAAAATGTGACTTTTCACAGGAAACGAGAAGTGACAATGAGCTGGCAGAAGGTGATCATCAGTTGATCGTGGTTGACTCTAGTTTTTAAACGTCGGCCTAGGGAGTTTGCGGACTTTCAGAGAGGCTGCTGAAGGGGAAAATCCACCATTTTGCAAAATTTCCACAAAACTAAATTGTTCACATGTGAACAAAGTCATTCAGAGTGGTTTCAAGTGAAATGCTCTGTTCTGGAGAAACTTATCAAGCCAGAACTGTTTACAGTGGTATTGGACAGGAACTAGAGGTCTGAAGAGTTTAACGCCTCCAAAAACACACAGTGAGCTGTTACACAAAATGATTATGAGTATGCTGCCTGGTGTCTGCAACATTGTTTTATGATAGTTTTGAGGTTAACGTTTTGGCCTAAAACACATTTTTATGTTCATGCAAGAGAGGTGTTTTTTTTGTATTGCAAAATATCCAAGAAAATGTATTTTTTTAGATTTATCATTATTTTGCCATTGTATATCATATAACATCATATTTTTATTTTACATATTACATATAAGATGTATTTAATGTAATATATTACATATTAATATAAGGAGTGTCTTATATGTACACAAAACCACTGAATTAGGCAGAACAAAATGGTGATTTTGGATATTAATGGCTATATATGTTTTGTAGACATCACAACCCCTGGTTCCAGAAATCTGTCTTATGATTTTATTCCTTGCTAAGAACAGTAAGGAAACACAGCAGTCCTGCTGAGTGACCACACGTCTGCTATATCTCTGATCTCCTGTACTGCGGCCTGCACTCTAACACTCACTCAGCAGCTTCTGTTTAATGCCTTTTCCACTCCTCGTTTACTCACTACCCTCTCTCTCTCTCTCTCTCTCTCTCTCTCTCTCTCTCTCTCTCTCCTCTCCCTCTCTCTCTCTCCCCTTTCTTTTCCCCTTCTCCCTCCCTCTCTCTCTCACTCTCTCCCTCTCCTCTCTCCCTCTTTCTGTCTGTCTCTCTCCCTCTCTGCATACCTCGTCTGCTGGAATTTGTTTTCTCAGCTAACAGGGAAACAGCTTGACTTGTAGCAACAAGTTCACTACTGATTGCATCACATCCGTGAGAGAGAGAGAGTTTTTATTTCCTCATGTAGGTGAGTAAATGCTGAAAGAGAGAAAAAAGGCAGGTTGAAAGAGAGAGAGAGAAAGAAGGAAGTAAGAGAGAGAAAAGTAATAGACAGCGAGATGGGAGGGTTTTATTTCCTCTTGTAGGTAAGTGCTGAGAGAGACAGAGAGTGAGGGAGGATGTAGTGAGCGGTTTAGAGGTGTGTTCGGGTCGGAGTGATTCTCGGCCCACAGTAACGGCTGCCGACACTACCGGCAAGGATTTTGGGAAATGAGCCCTAAACTACTGCTACTGATTCTGGCATTGACGGCCAGCCTGATCGCCCCACAGGGTAGGAGTACCAAACAGTTTACTCTCTCTCGCTCACTTCTGTCTTTCTCTCCTGTTTTTCACCCTCTGTCTGTTGATCCTTTATTCTCTCTGTTTTCTGTCTTTCTCTCTCTTTTCTGTATAAGAATTCTCTCCTGTCTTTCTCCCTATCTGTCTCCCTCTCCTCTCTCTCTCTCTCTCTCCCTCTCTCTCTCTCTCTCTCTCTCTCTCTCTCTCTCTCTTTCTCTTTTTTTCTGTCTTTCAGCATTTAGCCTCCTCACTCTGTCTTGGTTCTCTCTTTCTTTCTGTGCTATCGCTCTCTTTCTCTGTCTTTACTTTTCTCTGTTTCTTTCTCTCTTTTTTCTCTCTGTCTGTTTTTTTTTTCTTCTCTGTCTCCTCTCTTGTACTCCTTCTCTCTCCCTCTCTCTCTCTTTCTCTCTCTCTCTCTATCTCTCTCTCCGTCTCACTCATTCAGTCTATACTGTGTCTGTAAGAAGTGAAGTATCACCGGATCAGAATGGGCTGAAACTGGAGCTTTTAAACGTCTAATCTTTCTGCTTGTGTGTTCTTCTGAAGCTCTTTCAGCTTTGTTGTTGATGGTTCTCAGGCAAGACGACACATGCAGCTGAGTCATGTGAAACGGCTGATGAGGCACATTTGAAAGCAGAACTTTATGGACTCCACGCAAAAGCACACAAGATTATATTTGAACAGTAACACACAGTAATAGACAGTAATAGAGCGTTCATAAAGGTGATCTTTTCTGGCTAAGTCACCGTTGGCCTTCCTCCCTATGCAAATCCATCCACCTCCTGCTCACTGTACAGAGACGATGCATCGTCATGCAAAGTTTCACTATTAATAATCATGTCTGTCACCTGATTATTTCTGTTTAAGGGGTAGGAGGAGAGTGGTTTGAAGTGAAACATTGAGTTCTGGAGAATTATTGGTGATAGGAACCAGACATCCCCCTTTAAAGCTTCCTATAGAGAGTAATTACATTAAATGATTATGAATACACTGCCTGATAACGTTGTTTCATGATATTTTTGTCCTAAAAATATATAATTTTAAATGCATTCATGGTGGAGGGGTACATGCGGGACGTTGAGGCAAAATAGCCCCCAAAGAAAACATATTTTTTTCAGATTTCTCACTGTTTTACTATTATCAACATTACATATAGAAGCTCAGAAGACACGTGTATGTTTATTAGTGGTTTTGGATAGTAAATTAAATGACTATATTTAAGTTGTAGACATGGTGACCTCTGGTTCCTATCACCACCACTGTAAAGACATCTGAGTCTCTACAATGAACCATTTCACATTCCACATGAACCATTTCTAACCTTAACAGTAAATAGAAGCAGGCACTGGGAATGAAATAATGCACATTTACATTGTAGGTGATTTTTTAATGTTACAAACAAATACCAGAAGTATATTACATACTGAATAATTCATACTAGTTACAGAAAAATCATAGACTAATTGACAGCAGATATTAATAATTAAGAGCTGTTACTAAATCATAGATAGATTCTAAATAACTCTTAGTAGTTACTAAATAATAAATAGTGGATGCTGAATTATTTATGACAGATAATATATAGTTCATAGTGTTTACTGAATAATTCATAGCTGTTCCAAAGGACAGTCTTAAGACTAACTGCTCAATAATAAACCTCCAGTTAAAGGAGTCGAATCACACTCAGCATAGTCATTTTTTAACCTAGACCATTTTCAGTGTCTTTTCAGTGGAGTGTGAGAAGTTGATGGTGGTGTTGGTTAAGAATCTGTCTCAGATAACATCTTTCTTCTGAGTTTAAACATGTCTCGACCTGACTAATCCACAGTCTAAAGCTTCGTTACTGCAGTCCACTCATTAAAAAACAATCATCTCGTGCTTTTCTGTGCAGTTCACTGTGAGACAGATGACAGTTCTGGAGATGCAGAAACAGAAACACATAACACTGAAGAAATTCCTGGTGAGTGAGCTCTATTTATCCATAGTATAACAGTATATACCATAAAATTCATCATAAATGTTGAGGCTATGTTGTCATTTTTTAGTTGAAGCTGTTTTTCTCAATGGGAAAAGCCGCCATGTGCGAAAGCCAATATGTTTGGTCTTGTGTGCGTTTTTCAACAGAATAGAAATCAACTTGAGTATTTTTAATTAACATAATTCATTAAAATATTGTTTTCCTGTAACTTGTAATCAGATGAACTAGGATATTGTTGTCTCTCTGTGTGTGAAATGTTGTGACTCTGTGTTGAGCTGCTTGTGAGCAATGAGGGTGAAAGGAGAGGTGAGAACCCCTGCTCTGAAAGCATTTCATGCCCTTGAACAAATAAAAACTGTCAAAATAAAAAAAAAGTACAATATGGAACTGCCACAATAAAAAATAGCATTTGAACACAATAAAAACACTCTTATAAATGCTGACTTGCTTGCTCAGGTACAAAGACGAAAAACCAGTTTAGCTTCCAGTCTTGTCAATCAAAATCAATTTAAATTAACTGACACATATTACATATTGAAGGAAATCTATAGTTCAGCTAAGGGCCCTCCAAAACATGCAGAAATGGCATTTTATGCCTACTGTGGCAAAGGAGTAAATAATAGAATAATAGCAATAAATAAAACAGCAATGGGAATATTGCTACATGCAAGCTAACACTTTAGCATATTGAACTGACATCATAAGACTGGTCATAAGACTAAGCTCCAACAAAATAAACCAGCAGCTTTGTCTACTGTGGTAATTTAGAGGTAGTTAAAGCAGCCTAAAAAGCCTTTGGCAGTTTTAGGCTGCAGTTTGAGTCGCTGGTATTGGTATATATCCACGTTGAACTGTATAGTTATGTATATGTAGTTTTACCCTTAATTTCACATCAGCTTCAATTATATGTGCTGGAGTCCTAGATGCCTGTAGCATTTATGTAGTGTTATTAGCATTATGACTACTAAATGACCTCATATCTCAGACCCAGTGACATTCAGGAGACAAAACATATCAGGTTTGAAACACTTTTGTTCAACACAGGGTGATATAGTGGTCATTTTTGAAAAACTGTTCATTTTCCCAGAGAGAAAAGTGCTCAGACCTGGAGTTCCTTCAGCATGGTGGAGACTAATTCACTAAACAATGCAGGTTTATTACATAACTGTATTGTGCACTTTTCATACACTCTTAAAAATATGGTTCTTCAAGGGTTGTTTAGTAAAGGGAATGGTTCTATGTAGAGCCATGAGTTGTAGATGGAACCATTTCATGCTTAAGTCATTCTTTGCACGATAAAATTGTTCTTCAGATTGATAGAGAATGTGTTCTATATAGGACCTTTGAGAAAATGTTTCTATATAACATCAAAAATAATCGTTACGATGTCAAGCTTGTAATAATAGAAGAACACTTTTATTTACAGTACTGTGCAAAAGTCAGAGACCACCCTTCATTTATCTAATTTCCAGTCAAAACGGCCATTACATAGAAGTTCATTATTTTTCAACATTAGGAACAAAGCAGAAAACATATATTTAACAGAAAACAACTAAATATAATATCAGATTTTCAGTATTTAGTGTGTCCACTCTTTACCTTTATTACAGCTTCTGTTCTTTCCAGGACACTTGTTTTTAGTTTTCAAAGTAATCTGCAGGGATGTTTTTCCACACTTCTAAAGTTCAGTCTTAGAAGTTGGTCTAACATTTTCTGCTTCTCACAGTCCAAGTCATCTCAAGCACATTCAGTGATGTTGAGGTCTGGACTCTGGGGTGGTCAGTCCATTGTTCTAAAAACAGCAGCAGCTTCTTTGTTTGATTTGTCTGTTTCCTTTTCTCAGTAAAAGCTTCTTGACAGCTACACATCCTTTCAGACTCATAGTGTTGAGTTGTCTTCTCACAGTGGAGGGATGGACAGAAACACCTGTGGATGTTCTCAGATCTGAATCAAGAGTGAAGCTTTTTTTTTCTTTCAAAGACGGAATCTTTAAGTTGGTTTAGCTGATGGGGACAGCTTTGGTCTACCGGGTTTTGCAGGTGGTTGTTAGGAGTCCCATTTCTCTGTAGCTTTTAATCATTTCTTTAACTGAACTATCTTATAACTAATCTTCTCAGAAATATCTCCTGAAAGATGAAGAACTCGTACTAAACTGATTAGAAATTAAATAAATAAAGGGTGGTCTCTGACTTTTGCACAATGCACGTATTTATAATTGCCGCGTTGCTGCTTTATGTGAGATTTAACACTTAAACTCTACAGTAAGGTGCTCATTTGAATGTGTTTCCAAAAGATGTAAACGTGAGTGTTAACCACTAATTTCTTTCGATGTGTTTTTTTTCTACATATTCAAATTGTAATGTCAACAAACTCTCCAGCAGCAACAGATGAAGAGACTGGACACACAGGTAAAAAAAAACACATGCAGTATATACTAAACTGAACATTTTGAATTATATTATAATCCACATGTTGAATGAGGAAGTTTCGGATAAAGCAGCCGGCTGCTGTTAGGGTGTTTGTGTATGTGCGTGTGTGTACAGTGTGGGTGGGAATGCGTGTGTGACCTGATTTTACTCGTAAAGCAGCAATGTGGACGTTTACTTCCAGAACCTCTTAAAGAAAACATACAAACAAATTCCTTAAACATGCTTTTACAAAAAACAGTTTAAAACAGAATCCAGGCATGTTGGAGGTTGTCAGCATGCTGCAGATATCTCACAGATACAGTTTAGAAAGCATGTTTCCCAGATCAGATTGCTCTCTTCTGAATATAAACAACCCATAGCTGAGTTAAGTCAAAAAGCTTTATCAGACATTGGTTCCTGCTGTGTGTTATTAAACTTTTCAGTCCAGCTCTCTTCCAGTTAACTGTCCATACCAATAATATTATTACAGTGAATTTCCTAACAGTAAGATAACTGTGAATAATACAAAGACACATTGTTAAAAGGGTTTGTTGACCCTTTAATAGTCAATAGGATAATGATTTTATTTAAGGCAGTTGCGTTTAATTACTTTTAAAACACCATTTTTATGGTGTAAAACTTACAGTGTATGAACTTTATGCAAGATCGTTGAGGCTCAGAACCCACTGTTGTCATGTCTGTAGTCAAGCAACACATGCACATCTAGCTGGAGATTATTACAATGTTTGGAAAAAAGGGAGATTTTAAAAACAATGTCAGGGCTCAGAAATAGTGTATAACTCTTGCTTGTGTTTCGTGACATGCCCACAAAGTGGCCAACAGTTTGTGAAGGAAGCAATTCAAATGCTACTGCAGCTACTGCAGATTTTGAACATATGTAAACAACAAATTCCTGTTTGTTTGTGTATCCCAAAAGATTTTTCTGGTTTAGAGAAAACATATTGATAAAGAATCTTATACTGTATAATATATTTAATAAAACATAACATTAGCATTAAATGTTACAGAGCCTAAAATATGATTAATTGTTATTATATTATAGTCTTAACCCAACTGTGCATTGTAACTTTTAGAAGTAAGTGATGGTGGGGATGTTCTTTGTGCTTCTCTAAAACTTATTTAAAATCACCACCTAAAGACAACTCAATATATACCAAAACAACCTGTTCAACCGATGAACTTTTTCAATTACAAAATTAAGATCGTGACCAGATGATTGAGACAAGATTGAGACCAAATGATGAGTAGATTGAGACAAGACTGAGACCAAAATGAGATGATGTCAAAAACAAGACAAGACCAAATACAAATGAAGTCAAGATCAAGACAGGACTGAGATCAAATGACGTTGAAACTTAGACGAAACTGAGACCAAGTAATGTTGAGACTGAGACAAGACCGAGACTAAATGATGTTAAAACTGAGACAAAACCGAGACCAAGTGATGTTGAGACTGAGACATGACTGAGACCAAATGATGTTGAGACTGAGACATGACTGAGACCAAATAATGTTGAGACTAATGCTAACCATACACTAGAAGACTTTGAAAAGACTTTCAAAAGACTAAAGTCTGACACCCTCTCACATTTAAAGACAGTGTCATGTTTTTTAGTCACAGACTGTGATTTTGCAAAGACTAGGAATCCTGCAGTGTCACCATTTACAAGACTGTAACTCGATTTTGAGATTGTTCCCCATCATGCACCTGGTGGAAATTTGCAAACAGATAAACACTTTTCCTTGCACTCTATAGTGGTACACATGGGAAGATAGGTTGGCTGGGTGTGTAAAGATCTGGGGCTCAGGTTAGTTCACTATAGAACTGTATATTCTGGCAGATCATCACCCAGAATTTTAATTAACCTGAAAAATGTGCAGTTACTTTTTTAATTTGATATAAAGATTTACTCATTAACACACCATGCAGTGATTCATCATTGTTGATTGGGTGTCATGAACTAAACCATAAGAAACAAACAAACAAAATAAGAAACCACTGTAACAGAAAACAGAAAAAAACAGAAAAAAAACATTGATGATTCTTCAGTAATGGCATTCTTAAAGTCCTCTGCACATTTCCTTACGTGTTACAGGCTCAGTGAACCTGAAATATTAATAATATTAATATTAACAGTTTACATTTTAAGTTAATATGATTATTGTATTGAAGTGGAGCAGATTTTCCATTTTTACAGATATTTCAGGCACTCACGCATGCTCTCTCTCTCTCTCTCTCTCTCTCTCTCTCTCTCTCCTTTCTATCACACCACGCGCCTGCGCTCACCCGTAAGCACTCACGCGCACCCCTGGCACCTCACTATTTGCATGAGCCAAGACTTAAAACTTACGATAATATTAAACACAGTTGATTTTGTCGCAGCGTCAAGATGAGAAAAAGACTGACTTAAGACCGCCATCTTGACTACCTTACACCAAACGATCGAGATGACGCGAGTGTGACGTGACTCTAACAAGACTCTCATGATTTTATTCCGACATGGATATTTGTCTGCGACAGTGAAATCGCTTAAAAAGTTGTTTGGTGTAAGACCGGCATAAGACATGACTGAGACCAAGTGACGTTGAGACAGACATGACTGAGACCAAATGCTGTTGAGACTGAGACATGACTGAGACCAAGTAATGTTGAGACTGAGACATGACTGAGACCAAATGCTATTGAGACTGAGACATGACTGAGACCAAATAATGTTGAGACTGAGACATGACTGAGACCAAATAATGTTGAGACTGAGACAAGACGGAGAACATTAATTTACTGTCTCAAGACCGGTACTGAGTACTACAACACTAATTAAAGCACAGTATAGTTGAACTGCAGCCATGCTGCCTTGTCTGACTGAGATTTGGATGTTTTGTGTTTTTTTTTCTACAGTTTCCACCCAGAGTGAAGTTACCAAACCTACTCAGTCATATACATGGGATGCCCAAAAATGTGAGTGACTCCAATAAACATGACATTAGAGCCCTATTAGATCACTTTCCAACAATCACAACTGTACTTTATATTGTATACTATATACTTACTATATACAACTGTACTTTATATTGTATACTATATACTTACTATATACAACTGTACTTTATATTTTATATTATATACTTTATATGTACATATTATATATTACCACCTACTGTCACTATAGAATGCATTATGTCTATATAATACATCATCTATTTAATATTGATCTTTCACCAAATGCTTCCAATGAGTCAAGACATGTTTGGTTTCTTTAGTTTTAGTAGCTAACAAGCAATGGAATTAATATCAATTATCCATTAGCATTAAAGAAACAGCAACAAAAACAGCCCGTTTTATTCTAAGGGATAAAGAGAGGTTGGAAAATGGTCCGGTACAAATTAATTATGGCAATATTTAATACAAAATATTGGACCCTTTGAGTAATCTCTAATAGATTTGATAGACGTGACACTGTATTGACACACTGTTATCTATAAACATGGACAAATGTACATTGGCGTAGTTAAAAACAGTAGCAGCCAGAAGTTGTTCGCACTTGTGTCCATGTCTTGGCTCATGTTTTCTTGCTGAACTGTTGCTTTAAACCTCAAGTTTGTAAGTGAGCGTGCAGCTGACTGGGTTTTATTTCTTTGTTTCAGCTGTAACCACTGCTCAAACAATCAACTCCACACAGACTCAGAACAGAACACAGAGGGAAAGGAAACGGAGCTCCATCACAGCCACAGGTACTACAGTACAAACGCTCCTCGACGTACTTTGTCCTAGCTCTTTCTGTTTTTTAAAATGCTGTTTAAAGGTCATTAATGTAAATTCAGCTCAATTAAATTTTTTGTTTATTTCTACTGGACAAAGAGAGATCGGAAAACAGTCAAGTAAAACTGAATGATAGCTGTTTTGTCATTTGTCGTAATTTTTCTCAAGAAGAAAAAATAAAATATAAGAAAAAATGCAGGGTACTTTTAGAACAACTTTAAAGGTCCCATATCCCATTTTTTTATTTTATTTCCATGAAGCCCACATGTTATATTTGTGTGGTTTTATGTATCAAACCTTTTTTTAATATAGACAATCTGAACAGGAATGTAAATGGTGTATTTTCAAACCATATTTACCACTCTTATTATTTAAAAAAGGGAGGAATTTTCAGTTATCATCAAATAATAATAATAATTTTTTACATGATCATTTCCCAACTTCTCTTCAATCCTTACAATTACACAAGCTGATTTTGTTATTGTGCCTTTAAGACTGAAATATGTCTGTTCTGATTGGCTAGCTGTAACGCTGAACAGGCACAGAAAGACGCTCGCGGATCTTAAAAACGAAAGTTGGTTTAATGAGAGAACACTTGGGAGAAAAGGGCAAATCCAAAATCAGAATCCAAAGACAGGCAAAAAGTCAAAAAAACAGAAAATACAAAAACACAAGCAACCAGAGCAAAAGGGCAAATCCAAAAGAGAGATAGTCGAAAAACAGGCAATGAGTTCAGAACACTAGTCATGAAATCAGAAGAGAAACACTCAGTAAACCAGTAGAGTGGCAATACCTCGCAATGAGGAGAACCAGGATCCTTTTAAAGTCTAAAGCAAACGAACACAGGTGTGTTGCATTAGTAATCGGGTTACTGTGAACGGGGCAGAGGCCTGTGATTGGCAGAAGGGGTGACGTCATGATGATAGGTAATGGAGTCCTGGAGCGTGTTAGGCAAGGGAGGAGAACCCGGAAGTGTGACACTAGCCTGTTTTGGGACTCATACAAAAAGCAGTCGAGGCTGAAACACTCCTTATAACATTGGTGAGAATGGGCGGGGCTAAACTGCAAAAAAGGGAATAGGTGGATAATCTGTGTGTCAGCTTTTGTGACATCACATAAACAATAAATTCAAAACGAGCTGTTTTTGCAGCTTAGTTTCTACATATGGACTATATGAACTGAGGAGTTTCAGAATACATACCATGCCAAACTCTTTTATTTCAAGAAAAGTGAGGAATTGTATGATATGGGCCCTTTAATCATCAAATATATTTAGTTTCCTTTACAAAGCTCAGTATATCCACCTATCCAGAGACCACACCACTAATTACAGTACAATCCTAAAGCCATCTAGTGCTGTTTTTTGTAACATATTTACACAGTTTGTAGAAGATGAGAAGACATATGATGCTAATGTATGAACGACTTTTTTTTTCTGAACATTTTTTAACTGAAGTGTTGTGTTGTTATGGAACACTTGACAATAATGGATTTGCAGTTAATCTTTCAGATGAAATTAGTAAATAATCAAGTTTAACATGAATCTACTGTGTTTTCTGCAGCTTACACTAAACTACACTATATATGTTTTTGTCTTTAAGGTGAAAAGGTCAATAAAAAAATATGAAATTTGTAGAAATATATGAATTTGGATCGATCAGCCTACCAAAGAAAAAGGCTCCATTTAGATAAACAAAACAGGTGTGCAGATGTATTTGACCTGAATAAATGGTGCAGTGTTAAGAGGGTGAGAACATCTGTACTTCATGAAAGAGGCTTTTATTCATGTTCCTCCTTTATCGTTTTATCATTTATTTTACTGCTTGAGTTTGAAAAACACATGCTTTTCGTGGAAATGATCACAAGGTTGTCTTCAGTCTACCAAATAAACACCTAACCAGCTTGTCTATGAAAAAAGGTCAGTGGTAGACTTGGATGGATGAATATTACTTTTGTTCATTAGATCTGTTAACTTTGCTTTGCTGCATTTTAAATACATATTTCATTTAATTTCAATAAACAGTTGTTGAAGTTAAAGGAGTACTTCAGCATTTCTGTGACCTAAGCTCTATCTGCTGCATCTCTAGCATATGGTCAATACCACAGACAATTACTTCTATACGTTTTCCTGAACTTAGAAAAGAACAGAAAACTTGTTGACACAGAACTGGTTTATATTAGAAGTCAATGAGCAGCAGCTGAAATCTGTGAAAAAATATTTGAAATGTGACTATAGAAGTGAATTTGAAACTGAGAGAATGTTCAATAACACTTTACTGTGGGTCAGTCTATATGATGCCTACATAAACTGTAAAGGTCAAAACAAAGAAAAAAACACCTTTACGATAATGCTAATTTCTATTATTATAATTTGATTCCTATTAACATTTTTTGGCCTATAGTCACTTTTTTTTAAAGAAGTTTGTGCTATCCTTTGTAAATCAAAACGTGATTGGTTGATTGCTCTGTCACTTAAATATGCGGATTGTTAATCTAATGCAGTAGGACTTCTCTTCAGCTCCTGAAGTCCTAACCAATGTGAGGACTCACTTAGCTGTATCTATCTAGATACCACAGAGAAAACAATCTTTGATTGGGGCATTTAAGAATTTAACCTTTTTGTTTTGAACCAAAGCTTAACAATGGATCAATTACTGTAATACTAGTAGAGTATAAAAAGAAGTATAACTGTATTAAAAGTGTATTAAAAATGAAAGCAAACATTTTATTACACACTTCTATAATCTAAGAATAGCTCAATTAGTTTGTATTGAAGTCCTTGTAGCTGCTGAATAGTAAGCTTTAGTATGTAATGATTGGGATTTTAAGGGGTTAAAAATAAAAAACAAATGTACACAGAATTATCTGTGTGTGTCTGGGTAGTAATTTAGCAATAGAAGATGAGAGGAAGTAAGTTATCACAAATAACTTTATGGCTGTGATTTGGTCGCAGCGAGAGCAGTAGATCACAGCATGGAGCTAATAGATTGGAAAATAGTCCATGGTGATAGAAAACAGAAGATGAAATAATAATAGCAACCACCTAACAATACTCTAACCACAACATAGCAACCACCTAACAATCATCTAAATCACTACAGCAACTATCTTCAAACACCCTTGAAATACTGGGGAAATGCTTAAGCCGAACACTCACTTTGCACTTCAGGAAATGCACTTTTCTAAATTTAATTACTATCATGTTGTTATGTATTTATTATTCTTTATTTTATTTTATTTCATCCTTGGAAGTTTCCACAAACTTTATTCTTCCATGGCAATTTATGCTACTGCTCGTATAGTAGTTTTTACAGAAATACTGTTTAATAGAAAAAATAAAGTAACAGTGCTTCCATAAATGTTTCCTGAAGGAATTCAGCATCTGCCCACTGGCTTCAGGTAGAAGCGAGTTTCGAATGACTAAGTTTTCTGTTCTTCTCTAAGTTTAGGGAAATGCGTTGAAATTAATGTCTGTGCCTTTGGAACTTAGGCTAAAGATACAGCACATTAAGAGAAATTAAGATATTAGATATTAACTTGGTACGTATGAAGTACAAACTCTGAGACGTTGTGTAATCACTTGTTGTAAAGTGATTCTGGCTAAATTACATTCTGTCTAATTACTGTCTAATGTCACATTTTTAAGCAAGAAAGTAAATTAGAAAGATCTCAAGTTATGGTACGCTATATGGCCCGAAGTATGTGGACTTCTTTACTGGTTATGGAGTTCAGGTGTTTCAGTCATACTCGCTGGTAACAGGTGTATAAAATCAAACACCCAGCTGTGCGATCTTCATAGACAAACACTGGCAGCAGAATGGATCGTACTAAAGAACACAGAGAGTTTAAATGCACTCGTTAGTCACTACAGAGTTACTCTGGAGTAGTAGAAACATGTTCATCGCTGGAGTGATGAATCATGCTTCACTATCTAGCAGTTTGATGGACGAATGTGGGTTTGGCAGAGGCCAGGAGCACACTACTTAACAGAATGCATAGTGCCAACAGTAAAGTTTGGTGGAGGAGCATTTGTACCTCACTCATTTCTAGTTAATATCTAGAAAGGGACTGTAATAGAATGCATCATCTTCACTTATTTATGTTGAACATCAAAATATTCTTTACAGAGGGTGTGGTTTGTATTTAACAGTCTTGCCGACAGAGTCCGCCACAGGACCTGAGGAGAGCGACCCAACTGAGGAGCCAGTGTCAGATTTCACTGTCATCATGGTGGCACTGGTGCTGGTGCTGGTGCTGATCCTCATGGCCATATTCATTGCTGCACTCCTGATCAGCCGCAGGAAGAGAGAGACAGCAAATGGTGAGAGATTTACCGCAGCTTTAAACAATATTGAAGCAATGATATAACACATAAGGAATCATGATCCAGTCACCGAAGAAAAAAAAAAAACTGAAAACAAAATAGTGTTAAATAGATTACCTCAGCATTCAAAACTGAGTGTCATTTTGATTTATGCTGCAGGTCACTGACATGAAATAATCAAGAATAATCATGAATTTGACAGAGAAAATCTGCACAGAGCCACATTGCTCTCAATTACCTCATCATTCAAAGAATCACAGTTCCAGTCAAAAGCTGTTAGAATAACAGTGAGTGCGTTAAAACTATAGAAAAATAGCTACATGTGAAATATTACAGTGACTAAAAAATTAAATTAAAACTATGAAATAACACATAAGTAATTTGAACTATCTTGTATGCAGCTGATGTGGAGAGAAAACCATTTATCAGTGAATTATATGTGTGATTTGTGCACTTTTACTGAATTCCAGAAAATAAATGTTTCAGTAGTGACAGTTCAGACTTTGGGGCACATTTACTTCAAAACAGTGGAAACTGCTCACAATGTGGCCATGAGGGGCAGGGATGCAGTCACACTTCCTGCTCTAAAATGCAGTGGGGTGTAAAATAAGGATCGGCCCACAGACTAAAACTCTTTGGGTTTCAGTAGTGACATGAAAACGTTTTTTTTATTTTGAAATTGAACTCATGACAAATCTAAATCTAAAAACTTCACTTTAAAAGAAATCAAAAAAGATCGTTTTTAATTATTAAATGTTATTTTCACATGTTGGAATTTGTCAGATTTGGATTTGGGACAGATACCTCTAAATAAAGTACCATATAATATATATATATATAATATATATAATTTTGTGCATATTTACCTTATTATGATCTCAGTCAAGGCTTATTCATAGACTGTAAATAGATCATAACATAATCTTTGTAATATCTAAGGACCGTTGGATGGCAGTTTGAACTAATTTGATAGAATGATCTATGTGATGTTATGCTGAGAGAGTCTTTCTGCTCTGTTTTCAGCTCTAAAAGAGGATCCATATCTGGATGCTGAAGGAAGAGAGAAGGTGCCAATGTAAGTCTCATTGTAACAACTAAAGCGATAGTTCAGCCAAAAATTCACCCATTTTCCTTCATCTTGCTACAAATGTAGTCGATCAGCCAAGACATATCTGGTGTCTGAAATTTGCTTCTTTAGTTTTAGCACTGGAAACTACAAGGCTAATATAGCTAACAATTAATAGACACTTATACCTGCATGTCTGAATCATCACATGCTTGTCTCAAACTGTGTGGAGTTGTTCAGTGATCTCTAATAGACCTGATTATGTGGCTTCTGGCACTGTATGACACACTGTTATCCATGAATATGGACAGACAAAATTCAGACTTTATGATAGCTGCTGCTGTTTTTAGTTATGCTAATGTGCTTTAGCCCATGTTTATTGACAACAGTGCATCAGGACTTGGCTGGTCACATATGAGGGAAAATTGTGTAAATGTTGTTGGCTGATCTTTTGCTTTAACCCAGCTGGTCTTTAAGCCTTGAAACAGCTCTTCTTACATTCTGTTAAACTATGTCAGACTCATAGTTCATTGAAACATGTGGAGAAATTATGTGGAAATTCCAGGCTGTAAATATTCAATTCATTCCACATTTGTGTTTGCAAGCAGAAGATGAGATGTTTTATTATGATTGGAGTTTGATGAAAAGTTACAGTTGTTTTGTAGAAAGAAAAACCTTTCACATTTTGGCTGTGTCATTTGATATGTGTGGTCATAATTTGCAGTTTTTAGAACCGGAGCTATCCTTTTAATAATAATATTAATAATAAGCATGCATATCTACAAACCCAATTCCAAAAGGTTAGTGCAGTAGATAAAATGTAAATAAACACAGATAGCTGCGATTTATAAATCTACTTTGACCTGCATTTGAACAAAAAGAGTACGGAGACAACATATTTAAGATCAACTTTAATAATTTCTACAAATATAGACAGGTTTCTGTGCAACGTCATCACAGAGATATGCGTTCAACTGGGGGGCCAGAAAGCAACAGAAAGCAGCTCTCTTCAGGGCATAGAGCAACAATAGCAAGCAGTAGTTATGTTGTAAACTGCAACAACCACAGAGAAGATGGTTGGAAAATGTTTGATATCCCGAGGCAATCACAGTCCTTTACCAAGAAAACACCACAGAACATTATGGATCGAGGCCGTCATAAGGGTGGATTAGGGTCCCAATGGTCCCAAAGCCAGCATAAGTCTGTGCAGTGCCCACTTCATGTCCGAATGTAGTATGCTTTTGACAAGGAGATTGCCTATCAACACGTCCAAACTGTACTTTAGTACTGGCAGCATTTTCTGATGTGGTGACAAGGCTAAAGTCAGCTTCTTGTTCGAATTTTCCCGTTCCACCTTAAATGGTGCCTGAGTGGGCTGTGGCCTTCAAATTTGTGTGATTTAGGCTATCAAAATGTCTTACCTACAGTTTTACCTAAAGCTCCACCTATAAATATGCACTACAGTAGGACATTTCGACAAGGTAGCACAATTCATTAGACGCTGGTACGTTTCTGTTTGCTAACATTAGCCAGATAAGTTAGTTAGGTACAGTAGTTAGATAACATTAGTTAGATAAGTTTGCACTGTGGGATTCATATCAATGATAGCTAAACTAGATAATAGACAGGCTCAGCAAATTTAAGACTAGAAACGTTGTGCAATGTTCTTAAAAACATCCTAAACAGATGATGCAATTATGCTTGGGTAGAAAATGAACATCCAGGAAGGGCCAAGACTTTTATGAGCAATGATGAGTCAAGGCCACTTTGCCAAAAAAATGCATCAGCACAAAATCCAACAATTTAAGATTAATGTTCCTTAGCAAGCAATTGTAAGGATTTTCCCCCCTAGGAAAACCCTCTACAGTGCATAATATCATCAAACGATTCAGGGAATCAATCCTGCATTCAAAACTGGCATCACTAAGCATTAGTTACTGATTAAGTAAATAATTAAGAAACTTAGTTATTAGTAATTGAGTGCACTGTTAGCTGATAGTTTAGTTTGTCATTAGTTATTTACTTATTCACTGTGTACTGCATCTTATTACACTGCTAATGACCTGATAAGTGTGTTTATTCATATAAATAAGTAACATGAGAACTAACACATACTTATATGTTAATCTTGTTAATTATCTGTTAATTAATCTACTGATCTACGATTACATTTTCCTCCACCTCTAAATATTCAACTGCCTCAGAGCTGTCTTTACATTTTCACCACTAATTACTCCTTAATTCAAGTTACATAACCATTAATTACTGCTTTATTTGTCCCTCCAAGTAAAGTGATGATCTTTACTATACTAATTATCCTACAAACTCAGCCATTTCAACTCAAACATTTCACTGTGAATCACAGAAGAAGCATATGTGGACACACTGGTTAGGCCTAAAACACAGTTCTTGCTCATTCAAGTAAGCTGTGAACCAATGACAAACTAGACAAAACAGTTAGGTGTCATCAATTACTAATGTATAAGTACTTAATTAGTAACTAATGCTTAATAAGCAGTTAGTTAATATGTACATAAAGGGTACTTAATTACTTATTAGCATGTAATTATTGCTGAAACGTTCAGAAACGCTGCTGAATTCTCTGAAATGGACTGTTCCGCATTGGAAGCCTGTACTGTGGTCTGATGAGTCAACCTTTCAGACTGTTTATGAAAATAATTGTGTCAAAGGTCAAAACAGAGCGTTTTGGTACATGTTGTCAGTAGCATTCATAAGTAAAACATCAAATATTGTGTTTTTGAACTGTTCTCAGTTTAATACACGCCAAACAGAATTTACTGATCACTGCGTTCTGTTTTTATTTGCATTTCACACACTGTCCCAACTCTTTTGGAATTAGGGTTGTAAGAGTTTAACAGCTCTGACAAACATTTAGCAGAGTTTCATCAGTGAGCATGTTTTGAAATGTTAGAGCATCAGGAAGTGTATAACTTCCTACAGAGGAAGTGCTGTAAACTCATCAGTCTCACCTAAAACAGGAAGTGCTCCAGCTACAGTCTGAACGCACACATACTGACCAAGGCTGATGCTTTGCATACATGTGGGAGTAACATAATGCTCAGCTCACATCCTTCCACAGCGTTCTGACAGCATTCCAGATATACGTACACATTAACTTATACTTATTATAAACCTTGGATCCCACCTGTAGAAAAAGGAATGTACCCCCCTTGGGCATTTTATTGGAAACCTTTCTTTTTCTGGTGGTTTCCAACTTGTGGGCTGAGGCTACCTTGTCAGACTATGTTTGCACTGCTAGAAGTAGAAGCTGTGTGTCTCTAATAAAGTGGCCAGTGAAGGGCAGTACAAAGTAAGTGTTTCTAATAAGGTGGCCAGTTAGTGGAAGTACAAAGTAGGTGTTTCTAATAAAGTGGCCAGAAACATGGCAACAAGTATAAAAATGTGCCAATGTGTTGCAGCCTTCTCAGGCCTTCATCAGGACGCAGAACAATGGCATGTCAATAGAAAACACCTGAGAACACTCACATGTGTATATAACACAAGCTTCTGCCACCTGTTGGTCAGGAAGAAAATAAGGGGGGGGGGGATTCAAAGAAAAGGAGAGAAATCAACATCCTCATTCAAACCAGGATACTCTGTAGCTTTAAGAGTGTGAATCCAAAACTTTACAGCTTCTTTGGTTTGTTTTTAACTAATAAGATGAATAGCCTTTTTGTCACATTTAATTACTTACCATCTTCAGTGAATACGTATGTGATATAAATATTACAGAAACTAGTGGACTCAGCTGCTAATTTGAAGCACACAGTTTGAGAGGTGTTTTTTAGGTTGAATTAACTTCCTTTGCCTTATGTATTGGAGAGTTTAACAAGGTTTCAACAAGGAACAAGGTTATAGTGACAGTATATAAAATATCTCTTGCATTTTTAATGCCCAAGTGGGCCATACTGCTGGGTTTAGAAGGTATGTCCAATAAGTGGAAGTACAAGTTAGGTGTTTCTAATAAAGTGGCCAGTGAGTGGAAGTAATCTATATAATCTAGCACTGTGTATAAAGTGAGAGAAATAGACTCTTTACAGCTTTTTCAGTATGTTTTAAACTAATTAACTTGTCTTTTTCTCACATTTAATTAATTAGTGTGTTCAGTGAACACATTATAGAGTGTGAACTTTCATACATGTGTGAGGTAAATGTTACAGAAACAAGTGTACTCAGCTGCTAATGTAAAACACATTATCTCAGTGTAAGGGGGATTTTTTTTAGGTTAAATCAACTTCCTTTGGTTTCTAAATTGGTGATTTCAATGGAAACAAATTTATGACGACAAAGTATAAAAATATCTTGTGTTTCCTGTCACAGTGTAAAAGAAGCTCCATGCTACCTTTATTGTTGAATGCACTGTGATAGCTTCTGAGCGAGCTTGCAAACACACTCTGCAATTCACATTGCTATGGAAATGACGGTTATTGATCTGTTTTATCAGAATAACAATAAAAGGTCACTGAATTATGAAGTACGCTGTAAAGATTACAATATTTTACAGGCCACAATTTCTCCAGTAATTTACAGTTTATTTACAGTATTCATACTGTATTATTACAATACTTTTACGTTTACATTTGTAAATTCAGTTGATTACTGTAGTTCTAATGTACAGCTGATATGTACTCAAATGTGCACTCACAGCAGTCTGAGAACCCTCAGTGCTGATGCATTATGTAGAACAACATGTAAAGATACAAGCAAACACCATAAATTTATCTAGCTAGCATTTGGTAACGTTCATGCATGTTGAAGCATAGTTAAGTGGACAATTACATAATATTTCCAAATACTGTAGGACTGTTTAGCAATCTTAGCATGAACTGATCATCAAATTACAACAGTTACTGTATTCAAACGAGTCATTATGTTTACAGAGACAGTAGTTACCAAATTTCTACAAATTATTACATTATTACAACTAGTTCACTGAAACACAAAACACCATCATGGTGGGAACAACATTTTTACAGCAGTCTGCTGTACTTAAAGGAATACAGTAGATGACTGCTATGTTTCCAGTGTTAATTTAAAGCAATTCTTACCATGTACAGTACTTTACAAAAGTCAGAGACCACCCTTAATTAAATTTCCAGTCAAAACAGCCTTGAAGAACAAGTCATTTATCAGATTTGTTGAATTTAACAGAACATTACATAGAAACCTCAACAACTAAATATGATATCAAATTATGCATTTAGAGTGTCCACTTATTACCTTTATTACTGCTGACGTTCTTTTCAGGATCTGATGAGGACAGTTTTGGTGGTCTCCCAGGTTTTGCAGGTAGTTGTTGGGAGCCCCATTTTTAATCAGTTTTAGAAACTCCTGTTTTTTTCACTTCTTTTTGACTTTTTTCTCATGCAAGTGATTTTCTTATGTTTAATCTCCTCACAAATATCTCCTGAAAAATGAATAATTTATACTGAATGGCTGTTTGACTGGACATTAAATAAAGGAAGGGTGGTCTCTGACTTTTGCACAGCACAGATATTCCTGTTCATGTGTTTGCTTGTTTAAAATGGTACTCTGTGTGTCCTGTCTGTGTGTGTGCTGTCAGGCCAATGTTTGAAGAAGACGTGCCCTCTGTAATGGAGCTGGAGATGGAGGACCTGGAGAAGTGGATGATTAAAGGAGGTGTGCTGTGACCTCTCTCTGACCCCGTTACTCACTTCTCCCTGTGTCTGGAGTTCTGTATGACTGATGTGCCGCTCCTCTTTGCTTCTTAATCACCTTATGACACTTGCGTCTGCTTACTCTGTGGAGAGGATGACGGTGTATGAGAGGGATAAGGCAGAATCGGCCTCTATTTTTATCTTTTATTGAATCACAGATGAGGAAACACAACAATACAGAAGCTAATATACTTAGACTTAGTATTAAGGATGAAACTAATGATATTCTATAGTGTAGAAGTTCATAGTGTGAGAGTCAGTAGTATTGAAGCTGATAACATGGAGGTCACTATACCTCTGTGTATATAATAGTAAAGATCATGAAGGAAAAGTGCTGGCCAGTTTTTGTCAGATCAAGTAGTTTGTCTCCAGCTCCACTTGCAGCTGGCTGCTTCATGTTTCCTGCTGATGAACCAGAAGAACTTGATAATAAGTCATTATAGTAATAACGGGAACTCACTAAATTGTCCATGAACAGTACCGAAGTTGAAGCTTTGATGTTACAAGCGGTTCAATTCAGTACTGCGCAGATGAACGCAGCTTACAGAGAGAGTAATGCTGTGACCAGCAGATGGCGCCATTGTGTCACAAATCAGTAAAACTCAACGGGCGCTTTTTTTTGTGAATGTCGCTTTCATCAGTTAATGTTGACAAACAAAAATTCACTCACTGTATGAAAATCATTATATTACTGTATATTTTCTTCCAGCACCAAAAAAAAAGATCATGTAACCTTATGAGTGTTTTCATCACATTATTTGCCATGAGACATATAATAAATGAAGAGAACAACTTCAGCAACTTAATTTTTAATTTGTCTTTAATAGATCACTATAATTAAACATAATAGTACATATTTGTTTTGCTTTCTGATTTTTTGTCTGCAGATGGGGGCATCAGCATGGACTCCGGACAAAAACAGTTTTCATGAATACATTTCCGTGAGTATAATTGTACTATAGAGTCATTTACATACATTTTGTATAAATCTCAATTGAAATACGCATCATAAAAATCGAATTAAGTTATCAAGGACACTGAACGTTTTTGATTGGACTATAACACTTGAAATTATTTATATATCATTAAAGGCTATTCCATTTTGTCATAGACGGTAGCTGCATTCCTTTCAGCAGAGACCATTATATTCCCCACTCTCTGAGCACAGGATGCAGGTTAAGGGCCAATTGATTAAATCCCTTCATAGAGTTCTGAGGTCGCGTCATCATTCTGTAGTCGGCGTCATGCCCATATCAGAAACTCTGAGCTGCCCATATTAGTCTTAGCTGTTTTTCTCTGTGAGAAAACGTCAAAAATGTCAAAAATCTGCACTGCTGCTCCCTGCTGTGGACCAAAAAATTCAGTCATAATTTAAGCAATAAAAAAATGATTGTGTTTAGTAAATCGTACTTTTTATTTTTTTTTATTTTTATGCCCAAGAAGCTACTAAAGTGGCATAGGAGAATCTCAAAACCTGAACACTTATGCAGAATGTGTTATGAAAGAGTTGTGAAAATGCATGTTTATAAGTCTCCTGTTGAAAAGTCGCAATCCTCTCATTTGCATATTTTAGTATATTGGATCATGATAGGTTCAAACTTATTCATGACATAAAATCTAAGCTATGTAGTGTATTCACTACGTATGTGTTCATATTCATAGCAAATTTCTCTTCGCACCCTTGATAACAACTCCAGATCTAAGCTGGTTTTGGCAAGAATGACTAATGTTCAAAGGTGATATTATGTATGAATTACAAAGTTATTTAGCAATCAAAGCACAAGTGCGTCTACAAACATGCTACAGGTAAACTAATGCATGATGTCACATAAAAGTCTCCTATTAAACTTCAACACTGTTATATACCAACACCAGTTACTCAACCTGCAGCTGTATGGCAAACGACTACAGAATGACAGATGACCTCAGAGGCCTTTGGTAACAAATTTGAGGCAAACATCAGTCGATACAATCATAGTAATTCAAGCATAATAATATGTCCTGAAGTTAACATCTGTTCACACTTACTAAGACAAATGCATGTCAAGTTTAGAAAACAGAAAACACACGTATTAAAGCTGACTTAGACGCTGTGTAAATTTATAAACTGGAGCAGTGCAATGTGTTAAAAATCAGGCTGACCAATCAGGGCTCTGTTGTCATGGTTGCAGTTCAAGCAAATGTGCATCCTGATGACAGAAAAATGCAAAATATTATATTGCCCCCAAACACTGACCATAAAAAAACAATCGGGCGGCCCATAGGTGAAAGGCTGGGGAATTATGGAACCTAAGAACAATATAGGAAGTGTTGATAGTTATTTATTTTGGATAGGTGTATCCTAATCTGTTCATCCCCATAAAATAACTGTGGGCTAGTGTTTAAAAAATGCATTGGACTTGATGTGAAGGTTCCACTGCGTTAAAAATTGCATCGGCCTGCAAAAAACTCTTACTTGTTGTGAGTAGGCCTTTACGCTTTAAAAAAGCACGTTTGAGTGAGGAGGGTTTGGAATCCACCTTCTGATAGATCTAATTAATTAATTAATTAATTTCCCTCTCATACTTTACTGTGGTCTGTGGGTTACAGTCACCATTCACAAGTCTCAGTACACGTAGCTCACTGCGTACAAGACGAGACAGGAATGTGTTCATGCGTCACGCCCTCTAACATAATGTGTGTGATGTGATTTCCAGGAACACTTGTATAGTAGAATTGTGCCTTTGTTGTGCTTATAGAGCAAAAGCTGCTCTCTGTGCCAATATCCCCACTGTCCATGAACCGTGGGATGTATTTCTGTTGGGTGGAGTGGAGTGGTTTTGTGCACTACACTACTGTTCAAAAGTTTGCAATCACTTGCCATATTAACAAATTTTGTGCATTTTTTAATGTACAACAATAACGAACACAATGTGAATTAAAGTTCGCCAGGTAGGTATTGTTAATGCTGTATTCAAAGTTTCAAGAATGCTGTGAACAAGAAGTTATTAAATGATAAATGATACACTGTAACTGGAAAAGTGCATTTCTCATGTGGTTGCTAGGGTTTTGCCAGATGGTTAATATAGAAAATAAGAAGGTTGCTATAGTATGATTTCTTTGCTACAATTACTTAAAACAAGTACAAATGTATACAAATAGATAGTTTAATCCTATAATATTCTTACAATAAGAAATATTAGACATATTGACTTGATTTTCATGTAAACTTGCCTGATTGTCAAATCGATTGCATTTGAAGTAGGGAGGGAAAACTAAGTAAACGCCTTCCTCTCTCACTGTTCTTATATCTGTTCCTCTCTCGCTCTGCAGGTAATCGCTGTGGACTGAGAGATATCTGCGTTCTTCTGCTGTGCTGTCTACTGGGAACACTCTGACTGCTGCCTACAACAAACCAAAGCCTGATTTTTATCCATGTTTTGTTATAAGGACTTCAGATAAAGAAAATTTTAACATGAATCCACTGTCGTAAGATTTCAATGCAAAAAGTTATATCTGGGCAAGAATGTCATCTTAAATCTAGTCGATGCATCTAATATTTCTCATTATGAGAGTATTATAAAATAAACTATTGTTTTAAGTAACTTTATTAACTTAAATTATCTCACTCTATCGACAAACAATTTCACTTGTTGAGATATATGTTTTGCAATACAAAAAGCAGAACGTTTCTCTCATATTAAGACAACGAAGCTTATTTTTTCTCTCTAATAAGATAACTTCTCCTACAAGGCACTGAGCATAAGATTATTTTGTTTACTTTAAGTTCAGTCTTACTTAGATATCTGACCTTGTTTTAAGTGGCATGAAACAAGTGCAAATCAGATCATTATGATAATTGTGTCAGTACTTCCGATACAATATCCAGTCACATTTTTAAGTCTATTCCAGGTGGAGGGATGCAGGCAGGGCTTTGTGAGGCAAAAGCAAAATTATCTGCCAAGATTGTGTGATAAATTCACTTAATAAAAGTATTTAAAACAAGTATAAAACATGTAGAAATAAGTTAAATAACATTCCTACAACCATCCCGAAATGAGAACAATTCGATATTTCTACTAGATTTAAGATGATTTCACTTGCTAAGACATTTTCATCATTTTTTGCAGTGCATAGCCTACATTTTTCTTTTTCTTCTGAGGTCCACTTATAACAATTTGAGTTGTTTTGTGCATCAAAACAGTCATAATTCATTTCTACATGACCATTTTCCAACCATTCTTCATCCCTAACAATTAAACAGGCTGTTTTTGTTACTGTGCCTTTAAGATTGATATATGTGAATGAGATGCGTTCTGATTGGCTGCCCTGTTAGTGGTCCAGGCTGAAACACTCCTTGTAACTTCAACATGAGTGGGCGGGACTAAACTGCTGTAGGCTAAATAGGCAGATACATGTAAATGTGCTTGTTTCTGTGGCATCACAAAAACAATGAATTTAAAGCTGTTTTTTGCAGCTTAGCTTCCATATATAGACTGTATGGACTGGGGAGTGAACGTTTTAATACAGTGTTTACATACTACTTCAAAAAAAGTGAGGGAAATTCTGTTTTCCATGAAAAGGGACCTTTAAGGCTACTTCAAAGGTTATAACTAGCTAGGCTAACTTAGGGACCGTTATCTAGCTAATGCTAAAACCTCAGCCTTGAGGCAGTCAAGGACTCCATATGGACAGTTAGCATGTCAAATTCAGTTAAGATTTGGGCTCCATAATTTTTTTACATAAGCATTGTAGCTTTGAGAATTTGAATCTGGTCACATCCACATTTCCTGATGTTTTGCATTTCTGTTGACTGCAGTACAACAGCCCTTATTCATCAAAGTCATGTAAAAAAGGTGCAGATTTGACCGCCTTTATTGATGTAAGAACTACTCTACGTCTGATTCATGAATCTTTCATATGACCCGTCAGTGTGTGAAATCAAGCACTGGCCTACTAGCACCTAATTTACATGTCATTTACATGAGACACACCCAAATTTGTGCAGATGTTTCAGTAGGGAGCCTATAGAATGACACCATTCAGCAGCTTGTGAGCCAACGGATGAGCTCGTAGACAGAGTTTTAGGTCGAGCAGTGAGTGCACTGCTCCCCCTAGTGACCAAACTTTATAGGGTTAAAATTACGACTACTGGAAAGAAGAAAACGTAAAATAAACAAAATGTATCTGCACTAGCTGTGTTTTGTATTGTTTATTTTTTTTGGTGGTGTCAGAAGTATAAAACAAAAGCACACTGTAATGTGTCTTTAAACAGGACATGGTATGTTTGTTTACATCAAAGTGCATGTACAGTAAGTACGTCCACTTTTGTACTGGATGGCCATGTGCAGAAATGATTAGTGTTATTGGTATTATTTATGATATTGGTAAAAGTTTTGGTTACACTCCTACCAGCTATGAGTTCGTACAACAAAGATGAATCTGATAAATGACAAAACTGTCTGTGAAATTTCTGTGCGCTCGTTTCACGATCAGATTTGACCGTATGCAACTTTGACGAATAAGGCCTGTTTTGTGTTTTTCAAGCTTTCATCATTTCTTTGAGTGTTTGCCTTATATTTCAATGATGAAAGCGTCCTGAAGCAGGGTGAGATTGTTTTATTGCAATTTCAGTGAGTATGTCCACATGCAGTAATTACACTGCAGATTAGAGATATCACTGTCCTTTGTAAATATAGAGGAAATATTTTTAAATAAATTTGTATGTTTTATTAAATGAGTTTTTGTAGGTGCTTTTTATTTGATGTGTTTGCTGTTTGTTTCTAGGGCTGATTATGCAGTGATGGATTGAGTGATGGAATGATTTAAAATGACAACGTTTGTATTAAATATGACAATCAAAACATTGTGTATAACTATGTGTATGTGTTTGCATGGTGGATGTTGCTTTTGCACTGTTTTTAATTCAAGACAGTAAATTAAGGGAATAAAATTAGTGGTTGGATTAGATTCAGTAGTTTAGGAAGGGTTTCTATTTAATGTACTGTTCCTCAGAGTGGACAAATTGTAGGAGGTGGTTACAACACTTTTTACTCCTGAGCGAATAACTGGCATCAGCTAAACCTCAATACGAAGCTTGAACACCCTGTGCCATAACTCTTGCATAGTCCACATTTTATGTTTGATTTTCTTCCCTAATATGTTAAATTCAGTAAACAAACAGTAATTGCACATTAAAGTGTGCAGAAGTGTGATCTCTGTAGAGGTTTCTCTTTGAAAATCAACAAAACAAAGAATTTTATGAGGGATGCACAAACTTTTGCATACGACTGTGTAAAAGCTCAGGGTGTCCTGCAGAAAATGAGTGATGAATGAGTTTCTTGAGTATGATAAATGTATTTGTGAAAACCAACTTCAATATATCAAAAGATGGTTCTTCAAGGGTTCTATAGTAAAGAAAATGGTTCTATATAGAACCATGAACTCTCAAAAAAACCTTAGCATGATTAAAGGGTTATTTGCATTGTGAAAGGGTTCTTTACAGTGATGGACAATGTGCTATGGATGGTTCTATATAGAACTTTTTGAAAAAGGTTCTACCATGACCCTATCTGATGATGATGAAAAAGGCTCTATATAGCACCAAAGAGTTCTTTTATTGTTACCAGCCTGACATTGTAACAATAGAAGAACGCTTTTGGGTGCTATATAGAACCCTTTTCAAAAAGGTTCTATATACAACCATCTACAGCACAATTCTTCATCAGTCTAAAGAACTGTTTCATGATGCAAAAAACCTTTTAATCATCAAAGTGTTCTTTGAGTGTTCGTGGATCTATTTAGAGCCATTTTCTTTACTAAAGAACCCTTGAAAAATCATCTTTTTTTTAAAAGTGTAGAGCAATTTTCAAAAAGGTTCTATACAGAGCCATATACAACACATTCTCATCAATCTGAAGAACTATTTCACCCTGTAAAGAACTATTTAAGCATGCAAATGGTTCTTTGAGTGTTCATGGTTATATAAAGAACCACTGTCTTAACTAAAGACACTTCATAAAAGAACCATCTCTTGTAAGAGTGTAAGGTTGGTTGCAGGTGCTGGTTGTCATATTGTAAAAATCCAACATAAATTTGTTGGCCTTTGTAGCATTTTTTGTTTCCTGAACAAAGAACTGAAAAAATGTTGGGTTCAGTTCATTTTACTTCGTACAACACTTTCTGCATTAAAACCAGAACAAATGAAATAAATATGTAGCAGGTTTTGCTATTTAATTTTAAATTTGGTTATAAATTATTCATGGTTGACCTAAAATTTGGAATTAATTGAACATCAAAGTTTTGCCTTTTGTTTTGTAACCTTACTATATGATGCTCAGTGCACTTTTTTAAATGAAAACAATAAACTTTTAATATTTAAATCAATAAAGCTTTTGCTCAGAAGACCATGACTCCAAATCCCAGTGATGCTACAGCTGACCATCCCTGGGAAAACAGGAAATGCCTAGTGTCAATGTGTGATGGAAAATGTATTTGGAAAAGTTTTTAATTAATTTTCAGTCAAAACAGCCATTACAAGGCTTTTTTCAGCTCTGGAAAAAAAACAGAAAACACATATTTAACAGAAAAACAGAAAAGCCTCAACAACTACATATAACAAAAAACGTCATTACAGCTTCCATTCAAGGAGACTTTGTTTCCAGTTTTTCAAACAGATATTTCTTCACACCTCCAAAATTCAGTCAGGAAGTTGGTTTAGCACTTCCTGCTTCTTACAATTCACGTAATCCCAAAAACACATTTAGAAATGCTGAGGTCTGGACTTTGGGGTGGTAGGTCTGTTTTTCTGAGAACACCAGATTGATTTGTCTGTTTCCTGTAAGAGCTCCTTGACAGATTAACATAATTTCAGACTCATAGTGTTGAGTTGTCTTCTTACAGTGGAAGGATGGACAGAAACACCTGTGGATGTTTTCAGATCTGAAGCCAGAGTGGAGCCTGATTTTCTCCTCTCCCTCAAGTATTAAATTATCTGGTGGGGACAGTTTTGGTGGTCTACCAGGTCTTGCAGAGAGTTGTTAGGAGTGCCATTTTCTCTGTTTAATCAGTTTTTGAACTCCAGTTTTGGAAACTCCTGTTTTTTCACTTATTTAGATCACTTATTAGAAATTAATAACTCACTCTAAATGTAGGTATTGTGATATAAAGAGTGTGCTCTACAGTTTCTCATTAGGTTGAATGAGTAACTCACTCTAATTGCAGGTACTGTTATATAGACTGGCACAGAATAGATAGGAGAAATGATCTTTAATATGATAAATTCTTTAGATTCTTCTTTTTAGGGTCCTGTTGCTCTGTCCATGACATCACAGCCTTCCTCTGCACTCCCTGGAAGTGTCTAGAAAAAGAAAAGCACACTGTTTACTTTCAGAAGGGAACACAGTGGAGTTTCACTGCGAGCCATTAGGACAACGGTGGAGTTCTTCAGTGATTTCACTTTTTTTTCTTGTGCTTTGTGATATGATAGTGCTGAAAAACAGCACCAGATGGACCTCATTTGTTATATGTTCCTTCTCCAAGACTTGTCTGGACTGTCTGGCATTCACCCCCGTTAAACTGAGCCTGCACTGAGTGCATATTCCTACGGAATGTATCTCCAGTGTGATAAAGTATTCATTCTGTAAACTATCCTGATCTGATTAGAAGTTATGAATCTCAATATACATGCTTTTGAATGGGAATTCCATCATTGTTTCAAAATGTCTGCACTATTAAATTGATAAAATGTAAACATTCAAAGCGGTTTGGTGTGAAATGTCAGAATTGTTCACAGTGGTGGTGATAGGAACCAGACGTCCACCTCTAAAAGCTCCCTCACAGACAGTTATTACATGAAATGGTTATGACTACACTGCCTGATGTCTGAAACACTGTTTTAGGATAGTTTTGAAAAGCTTGTGGTCTAAAATGTATTTTTTGAATCCATTTATGGTGGATGGGGTGCATGTATATGGGAGGCAAATCCAGCCAAAAAAGAAATTAAAATTAAAACCATAAAATGAAAATGCAAACCTCTTTTTGCCATTTCTTTTTCCAAACATCTGCGCAAATATCCTGCCAAAATTGAAAATGAAATGAAATGCCTACATTTGCAATTTCATTTTTCACATGAGCACGAGCCATTTGTGACAAAAATAAAAATAAATGTAAAACAGCTATTTGTCATTTCATTTTAGTCATTATTCTGGGTTTTTCATGGCCAAATCTAAAATGAAAAAGCTAATAGAGAAAAGAAAATCCAAGCTTCACTTTGGCTTTGGCTTTTCTCCATGAAGTGCAGAATACGGGTCAAAA